AATTGTGTGGCTGTTTAAAAACTTTGAAATTTTGTAAATTGTCATTTTTGGCTCTTCAAACTCAAAAGGTTGCTGACCCCTGTTTTAAACCAAAGTTCCTAGGTAGCTCAAACGGTAGAGCAATCGCTCGAATTACAGTTTACACGAAAAGGAAGATCCTTTTTTTATTCTTTTTTTTTTTCATTTGAACTTTTGTAAAAATATTGTTGCATATTGGTTTCTTGATCGGTACTATGGTTTTTTTTTTCTTTTTTTTTATCTATGGCAACATCTGCATGTGTGTATTAGCGTGAGTAGTGTGTGCGTAGCTACAGGTAGATGAAAATAAAACAAGGTAGAATATATTTATTTTGAAAAATTTCATCAAAAGTAAAGAAATAGGAGAATTATCGACGAATCTAATCTGTAGAGACAAATATTAATTTTACAATTGGAATGTGAAAAGGAAAAGAACAAAAAAATCCCCGACAAAAATGAACAAAAATATTTCAAAAAAAAAAAAAACAATTTGTTTCTTTTCGTAACAAAATATTCATTTTAGAAATTGGAATAAAAGAAGGAGAAGAAAGAAAAAGAAATCAAAAAATTAGAAAATATTTGTATTAAATTAAGAAAGAAAAAAAAAACACCTGAAAAGTTTCTTTACCTTTTCGCGGTTATAAATTGAACGTACAACATCGAGCGAGTGTGTGTATCCTTTTTTTACGAATAATAATAATAATAATAATAATAGTAAAAAGGATCGATATATTGATTTATATGTTAGTTGGAACGAACTAAAGTTCCTGAGACTCTTGACGGTGAAAGAAGATAAGAAAAGGAAAAAAGTAGAAGTAGAAGAAGAATGTTGTCCTTTTGCTATTAATAAAAGATCCCTTTTTAAATGAAATTAGAAAAAGTATGATTCAAAGTATGTTATTACGAATATGCGAATAATTTCAAGAGTTTATTGTACTTTTCGTTTACTATTTTTATTTAATCCTTAAGTATTAATTAAAAATTATATTTATATAAATTAAATATTTATTAAAGATATACAGTAAATTATATATATATAATATAAAATTAAATATTAATTAAATAGATACTGTAATTAATATTTATATAAATATAAATATTAATAAAAGATATACAGTAAATTATATTTATATAAATATAAATATTGATTATATATACATATATAAATTATTTATTAATTATAAATTATTACAGATACACATTTAAAAATAATTATTATTCGTATTACATGTATATTATTTTTTTTTTTTTATATATATATATATATATATATTTTTATTTGATTTTGTTTTTTTGTAAATTTTTGACAGAAAATATTTGTATTTAATTTATCTCTATTATTTGTTAATTTATTTTTGAACATTATCTTTATAATATCTTTCTTAAAAATTAGGCTTATATTTTTATTAATTTTTCTTGTATATTTTCAGTTAATCATGGAAAATGGATTACATCGGGCCAATTAAATATCCCATAGAAAAAGACGATATCTCAATATACGGTAATATTATTTATTTTAAATATATTATATTAATTATGTGTATATGTGTATATGTGATGATGCGTGGAAAAGTGTGAGTTAAATTCCCTCTAATTGGTCCCTCGTTAGATAGGATTTCAATTGGTGTAATGCTTGAAATCTATTTGTAATACCAGACTTTAATACTCGATGTAATAGACGAGGTAGGATTATTCAGCAATTGAATGGTCTTGAATTTTGCTAAATGTAGCTTATTTTCAATGGTGGTGGAAGAGAGGGGTGGGGGGGTGGTGGGTGGTAGGAGGAGGAGGAGGAGGAGGTACCAGAAGAAATCAGAAGTGTTAGAAAGGATTGAAACGAATTCGTTCCGATATTTCAAATAAATTCCTCTTTTTAGTTTTATTCAATTCAATCTTCATTGTTATTTGTCTTCTCTTTTTTAGTTATTTTTTTGTTTTTTGTTTAAATTAGAATTCATCAATTTGATAAGATTCATTTTTTAATTGAACATTTTCTGTAATCGTTTTCGAATAATTCGAGGATAACAAAAAGAATTTTTATGTGAAAATTGCTGTCAGGCTCACAGTGTCAGTCACGGGTGACGGACGTGGCCTAAACGTAAAGAGTGTTGTGTCAGTCACCGATAGCTGACGTGACGGTCAACGTGTTTAAAGGAGATGTATCCTTGAAAAATGTAAACACAAGAGTATTACGTACAACGTATAATACCTAGCACGTACACATACTCATATACACACGCACAGTAACAACGTATATAGGACAGGGTATTACGCATATCTATTAATGTATATGTTTATATTCTCGCAGATGTCGATGAACGCTACGTCAGGTACTACACTTATCAACGAAGACCTAATCGACCAAATTCTTTTGGAACGTGCTCAAAAATGTTTGGAAGAACAATCTTCGAATAATACTACTTCTTTACCAGGTATTATTTTTATTAAATAAATACGTCATTTTTATTTTCTTTATTCATTTATTTCAATCATCTGAAAGAATTTCAATGCAACACTTATAGATTTTTATTTGATTTTTAATTAATACTTCATTTGATTTTAATTATTCATAATTATAAACATTCGTATTTTTTATTTTTACTATATATATATATAGTATATATTATACTATATTATATAAATATATAATAGTAAAAGTATTAGTATACTATTATATAGAATACTACTTATTATATAGTAGTATAAATATTAGTATACTATTGTATATATATATATATATATATATATTTGTAATATTTTATTTATATTTTATATATAATAATTTATATTATTAAATAAATACGTAATTTTATTTTTTATTCATTTATTTCAATTATCTATGAAAACTTAAATGCAACACTTTAGATTTTTATTAATATTTCATTTGATTTCAATTATTCGAAATTATAAATATTCATATTTCTTATTTTTTCTTGTCTTTTTATAATAATAATAATAATAATAATTATTATTATTATTATTATTATTATTATTATTATTACAATATTTTTATTGTAGAAATACATTTAAAATATTTAGATCTATCGTAAAGTTTTGTTCCAGTTTTTTTTTCTTTTTTCTTTTGTAATAAAACAAAAGTATAATAATCACAAATTGTTCATATCTCGAATAAACTTTTGACGAATAATATAATTTTGTCATTATTTATAATAATTTGTATAACAAATTTGTGCTTGATAAAATTCGGTAACAGTGTTTTTGGTTTTCAAACGAACAAAACTTTACTGTTGATCTAATAATTAAATCAATTGATTCATTAAATCAATGTTTTTGTTCTTTTATTTCTTTTTTATTTTTTTTTTTTTCAGTGTGTTCCTTTTCGATTAAACAATTATCGAAAGATAATTAATCGAGAACGTAATTTTCGTGATTTAATCATTTAAATGGAAAATTTACTCCATTTCATTTCACATTTCTAATTCAAACTTTTAACTATCTTTATTATATTATCGTATTTAAATAAAAAATTCTCTATTTATTTATTTGTTAAACGTTTATCATTTGTATCTGTGTGTGTGTGTGTGTGTGTGCAACGATTCATAATATAAAATAATTTTTATTATTAAAGTTATTTATTATTAGTTTATTTTTTTTCAAGAGAAAACATATAAAATATTTCATTAAAATTGTGTCAATTCAATTTCTAACGTTAACGTTCTCGATAAAATAATAATAATAATAATAATAATGAGATGATAATTAAAACATAACGTGTTAATAATACACATTGTTAGATCTAATCTAAAAATGTTTTTCCGGGAAGTTAGAAAAAAAAAAACGATGTATGCATTAGTTAGATACGCATGTAAGTAATTGATTAGAGTATTTTAATAACAAAGTATGAAATAAAGGAAAAAAAAAAAACGATATAATCAAAATATGCATGCGTTACACTAACATAATTTTAATGACTCATAGAAATAAATTTAATTAACGTTCTTAATACATTTAAATGTTATAAACATTGTTGCAATTTTTATACAATTTAAATATCATAAAAATTGAAGCAATTTATATACATTTATATGTTATGGAAATTGTTGTAATTTATGTATATTTAAATATTATAAAAATTGTTGCAATTTATATACAATTTAAATATCATAAAAATTGTTGCAATTTATATACATTTATATGTTATGGAAATTGTTGTAATTTATGTAAATTTAAATGTTATAAATATTGTTGCAATTTATGTATATTTAAATATTATAAAAATTGTTGCAATTTATATACAATTTAAATATCATAAACATTATTGCAATTTATATGCATTTATATGTTATGGAAATTATAGTAATTTATGGAAAATTAAATTTTTAAAAAATTGTTGCAATTTAGATACATTTAAATATTATACACATTGTTACAATTTATATACATTTAAATATTATAAAAATTGTTGCAATTTATATACAATTTAAATGTTACCACATTTCTAATATTGTTTAAACGTTTTACTTACAATTATTATAGTTAAGATTTTTTAAAAATATTCTTTTAAATTAATAGAAAATGGTATAAGGGTTATATTGAATAAAAATTAGAATTAGAAAAAAATGTAATAACGTTTATTTGCTCAGTTCTGATATGTATATATATATATATATATATATAAATATATACATCGCATTGAGTAACAAATATTAGTTTATTGAATAATTCTATTTATAATTAAATGTTATTCTTTATATAAATGCGATTTATTTAATTTATTAATTCTCTATATAATTATTAAAAATCAACATTGTAAATGTTTGCTTTTATTAACGTCTGATTTGATTTTAATTTGTGTAAAATAATATTTAATAATAGAGGATTTAGTTTTTTTGATTTTTTTATTCGTAATTGTTGCTCGTGCAATAGCACTTGTAATATTTTTGTTTATTCATTTGTTTGTTTGTTTTTTTGTTCGTTCGTTCGTATTAGTTAAATTAATTTTTTTTCTTTTTTAAATTTTTCTCAACCTTTTGTTGATTTTTTCTAGTAACAAATTTCCATACAAATTTGATAATATAATATATAATTAATATGACTAGAATTAAGACAAGAGCTACACTTCCATAAACGTCAAACAAATTTCTTTGCCACCATGGCATGAAAATTGCCGGTGATTGTAAAATATTTTTATGTTTTACCACGTATTCGACCCAATACATGGCCTTGGATAATGCTGGTTCTGATCGATCGTTAAACGTTTCTGAAAGTTTTTTTACGTTTGTCCTTGAAAACATGAAAAAAAAAAAAAGAAAAAATACGTTTGATTAGAAATATGTTGCTTATGATTCAAAAAATTCAATATAAATTAAATTTAATAATAAATATAATAATAAATATAATAATAAATATAATAATAATAAATAAAAATAATTAGTAGTATATAATTTAAAATAATAATAATAATACTACTACTAATAATAATAATAATAATAAATAAAGAACTAGTAGTATTAAAATACTAATAAATATAATAAAAGAATAAATAAAAATAAAATAGTAGTATTATAATATTATTAAATATAATAATAAATAAATAAAAGAATAGTACTATTATAATATAAAATAAATGTAATAATAAATAAAAGAATATTGTAGTATTATAATATAATAATAAATATAATAATAAATAAAAAAATATTGCAGTATAATAACATTACTAAATGTAATAATAAATAAAAACTAGTAGTATTAAAATATTAATAAATATAATAATAAGAATAAATAATAAATAAAAATAATAAAATAATACTTACATGTAAGATGGATCATTTAAAATAGCTTTCAAGGCATTGGTCAATTTTTCTTCAGTAACTTCTTGTATCGATCCTAGGGAAATGGCTACGTTTCTTTTAACATAATTTTGTATGTTTACTTTTTGATCGCCAAAAAGTGGTATACCTATCATGGGAACTCCGCAAAATATTGATTCTGTAGTTCCCATAAGACCACCGTGAGTAATGAAACCTCGTATGTTTTTGTGTTCTGTGAAACAAACCAAAAATTAGATTGGAAAAATAATTGGAAGTTTTCTCTTCTTTTTTTTTTTCTTTTTCTTTTTTTTTCAATTACTTACTCAGTACAGGTATTTGTGAGAACCAACTTTGGGTCATAACATTTTTCGGTAAACCAGGTAACAAATCTTCCTTTTTAGCAACTTTCATTAATACCCTTGTTGGTGCAATTTTTTCAAACGATTTGTAAAATATTTCCATCAATTCTTTCGAAAATGTTTCGATTCTTACCATTGAACCGAAAGTGAAATAAATGCATCCGTCTTTGCTATCGTCCAACCATTTTTGTACTTCCTATATTAACATTTATATTGTATTTTATTTTATTTTATTTTATTTTATATTATATTACATTTTTTCCCGTCAGAACAACACATTCATTAGAAAAAAAAATTCAAAGAAAAAAAAAAAACAAACAAACAACAAACATTATTAAAGATGAAGAACAATTAAAGATAAATAACAACGATAGATAAGAAAATAATATAATAATTAATAACAATAATAATAATAATAATTTTTCCTATTAATAATTATGTTTTTTTATATTTTATATTTTGTTTCCCCCAGAACGCATAATAAAAAAAAAAAAAAATAAATAAATAATTAAAAAACAAACAATATTAAAGCTGACAACAATTTCAAATAAATAAGATAGATAAAATAATAATAATAATAATAATAATAATATTTCCTATTAACATTTATTTGGTTTTATATTTTATTTTTTCTTTCCCCAAGAACGCATTAAGTAATAAAATAAAATTATTAAAGCTGTTTGAAATAATTTAAAATAAATAAGAAGAAATTATTATTAATAATAATAATAAATAATAAATGAATAATTAAAAAATAATTGGTGTAATACTAACCGGTTGAAGTGGATCGGTATTATTATTGGACAAATGTAATCCACCAACTTCAATAACAGATTGTGGAAATGATCTGATTCCGTGTAAACTATGATGAGAATTAACCAATACCAATGAAAGTTCTTTAAATAGATCTGTTATAGTTGTGTCCATATTAAAATATTTTTTAACTAATTCACTTTGTTTATTTGTATGATAATCCATTTGCATTTGTAAATAATGTATCATCAAAGTATTGGTTAATCTTTCAACGAATGTCATGTTTTGACTGAAACTTGAGAAAATGTTTGGCACGTAAGCAGCTTCATTAGGTGTACCAAGCAAATGACTATTCCAATCGTGGAATGGTGAGGTCATTAAACCGACAGTTGGTACTTTTAAATGACGACCAAATGCTAAATAACAATGGGCAGCAAACAACTGTAAAAAAAAAAAAAAAGAGAAATATAGAAAAAAATGATTTGAATCTTATATAATTAAATTAATATTAATAATATTATTATATTTATTTTCTATTTAGTTTTATTATATTTATTTATATGATATTTAATTTAAATTAATAATTAATAATATATATTAATTATAATTAATTATAAAATTAATTTTTAATTGTTATTTTTATTATTAAATATAATAATAATAATAATAATTAAATATTTATATAATATTAATCCTAAATAATATTAATCTTATTTAATATTAATATTTTATTCTTATATTATTTATTATTTTTTATTTCCTTGTTTTTTTTTTTTTTTCAACTATGACACACACATACTGAGATTCGTTGAAATATCTTTTTTTTCTTTCTTTTTCTTTTCTTTTATTTATTTATTTGTTTTTTCGTTGCATGTTTCATCGATAATTCTACTGCTTTGTTTTTTCTTTTTTCTAATTTTAGTTTTCCTGCATTTGATAATAATTTACACGTAACTATCATTGATGTTAATTAAAATATTAAATTATATATTTTTAGTTGAGTCAGTTCTACGTTTCAAAAAAATAAAAAATTAAAAAGGAAAAGTATTCGTTATTATATATATAAGAGTATTTTATTTGTTTATTTTTGTCTTATGTAATTCCTCACACTAGTGTCAATAAACATTTATTGAAAAGATTATTGCTGATGTCATAGTCATTGTCATAGTCATCATAACAAGATTTATCATCTTTTTCTTCTTCTTCTATTTTTTTTTCTTTTTTTTTTGGTATTTAATATACCGATTGTTCGAATAAAAATGAATTAATCATCACTTAATGTGAAAAATGTTATTAAATTATAATCAATATATAATATATAATATTATATATATATAATAAATATATATAATAAATATACATTTTATTATATAATAAATATATATAATAAATATATATTATATTATATAATAAATAAATATAATAAATATATATTATATTATATAATAAATAAATATAATAAATATATAAATAAATAATAATATAAAATAAAAAAAATAAAAAAATAATAAATAATAAAAAATAAAAATAAATAAATAATAAAATAATAAATAATATATATATATATATATAAATTAATAAATTAATTAATGAAATTAGTTCATACGTATTAAAACAAATTAATGTAAAATAACATTGTATTATAATCTAAATAATGAATAAATGAATCATGAAATTATTACCTCGACAATGACGAGATCGTAAGGTGGATCCTTTGGTGGATTTGCTATAATATTTTTAATTTTTGGATTGTCGATCAACTCGCATAAACTATAACCAGCCACTTGTGCGAGATGTGCAATATTCACACCAGTAAATCGTAGGATGTCCGTTGCTGTTACATTATTAACAGGACTACCGATATTATCCGTAATTAAAATTTCATTGTAATTAGTATGTTGATTTTTAGTTTTAAAAAATGTAAATACGTCTACTTGATGACCACGTTCTGCCAATCCTCTCATCAATGCTTCTATCATGACCCAATGACTTTTACCATTTATTGGAAATAAACCTAAAATTCTATAACCATCGATCATAGAACTTTGGCATATTATAAATGCCAAACTAAATAATACGACCAGTCTCATATTTTCTTGTTTTTTTTTTTTTTTTTTTTTACCAAATAATTGCAATTATGTCTATTATATTTTTATATTTTATTGTAAATCATATTTATCAATGGCTCAATTTTGTAAAGAACGAAGGATATGTGATGTAGTATGGTTACTTATCTAATATAAACTCTTATCGTTTAATTTGAGATTAACAGAAAAAAAAAAGGTATCGGAAACAAGAGATTATACTATCGTAAGTTGTAGAAGATAAATCTGTTTTTACCATCTGTTATAATACTTTAAATATATTTTATATTTATATATTAATATACATATATATTAATAATATATAATTATATTAATAATTATATATATATATATATATATATATATATATA